GCAACCGTATGACTACCTACAATATGTACTACAATGGCAGAAGACAAAATGCGTGAAGGTCGGGCAACGGTGCATTCCGGGGCTTCAAACATATGAGAAGTTCACTACTCACGGCCTCTGGCCAACCAACCTCTCCAAGATATTGACATGCAATTCAGCTTCAAAATTTAGCAGCACTATGGTACGTATATATTTCTTAATTTCTTAAATCTTTTTATTCTTTCTTTAATGTACTTTATATTCATTCCTTTTATTTACAGTTTTCATTTATGATCGATTGATCTGATCGCCAAATCTAATTATACCTTTCTATCTTATAATAATATAATTAAGTAGCTGCAAAATGATGCTTCATTGCTATCGAAAATGAAAACTTCCTGGCCAAATCTGGAGCAGAGAGTTGCCCAAGGAAAAGACAATGATATGTGGTTTTGGGCGATGGAGTACGAAAAACACGGTACATGTGCCAAGTTTTCTAGCCAGAATACTTACTTGTCAAAAGCATGTGATTTGTGGGAAGAAAACAAGATTAAGGATATTTTTGCCAAACACAAAATCATTCCAAGAAACGCGACGTATAAAGATGTTTTGCTAATGAATGCTATTCAAATGGAAACTCGCAGTTCGTCTCTCCTTCTTTGCCATAGAGTCAACGGCAGTGATTTGTTGTGCGAGGTTGTACTTTGCTATGACGACGCGGCTAAAAAACGGATGAATTGTTCTGATCAAAGTGCAAGACAAACAAATTGCGGAACGGACATCTACTATAAATAATAATAATAATAATTAGGGTATTACAAGTAAATAATAGGGGTGCTTTTAATTATAAAAAATAAATAAAATAAAAGTAGGTTTATCGGGTATACCTTAAACCCCCCCTCCCTTTCTCTTTTTTTGATGTTGACCTGGAAGTTCTTTTTCTCTTTTTTGATGTTGACCTAACAAAACTTCCAATAAAAACATACTTGAATAGTTAAATATCTAATCAAACTATGTCAAAATTGACTTTTAGCAACGAAAAGCGGAGCAAGGCAGTCGCTAATACATCAGAAATTTCAATCATTGACGTTGTAGACAGAGAAATTTTTGGTGAATTAAATTCCACTAAATAAGAAAATAATTAGGGTTTGGTGGATTAAATTGTGGGCCCCATAATTCTCCCATGTGGCGTATGACTCATCAAAATCGGATTAGTTGTCAAAAGTGACACGTGTCGACATCCGACAGAATGCATCAAACGGTTCAAAGTGAAGACAAAATTCAAGGAAAGAATCTTCTGTGATTGACTTTGATTTAAATCAAATATTAATCAAGTCAATCAGTCAAAGATAATTTGGTTAAATAGCCAAATTATTGGAATTGATTTTAAATCAAATCAGAATTCCACAAAGGAAGGTTTTAAAGAAGGAAATCTATTTAGGTCAAGCATCCTGCAAGAGCCTATAAATAGGAGGCCTCAAGATGAAAGAAGGAGCACCCAAGCACTCAGAAGAAACAGAAAACTCTCTGCATTCTTCACCTCACTTTGGAAGAGCCACCAAGCACAACAAATACGTGCCGGTTCCTCCACCCTAGAAAATCCAATCACCAAACAAGCCTTGTGCTACCCGTTTGATCAAGATCAAGTCTCTACGACCCTTGTATCAAACACAAATTTTCTTTAAACACTTTGGAGATTGAATCAGAGGATTTCATACAGAGATTGTAACCCTAAATTTCATTAATACAAATATTATTTTGTACACGTGTTCTTGTCTCATTTGTCGCAGGATTTTCGTGTTTACATACGTACTTTCATCTAGTAATCTTGACATTGCCTTAATTCTGAACAGAAGAGTCGCTTTCTCCGAGGAACACTAGTAAAAAAAACCCCTTGCGCGACGAAAAAAAATTCGTCGCGCAAAAGACCAAACTTCATCGCTAAAAGTATTACGTGACTAAATTTTGCGCAACGAAGCACAATCGTCACCCAAAATCACTTTGCGCAACAACTCTTTGCGCGACGACAAAAAATCGTCGCGCAAAGTCTTTAAAAAATAAATAAAATAAAAAAATTATTTGTTAAAATCCTTGCATGACTTTGCGCGACCAATTACTAAACTTCATTGCACAAAGTATTGCGCTACCAAGTATCATTCGTCGCGCAAATTCTTTAAAAAAATAAAAATAAATAAAAAAATTATTTTTTAAAATCTTTGCATGACTTTGCGCGACGAAATACCTAGCTTCGTTGCACAAATTATTGCTCTACCAAGTGTGGTTCGTCGCGCAAAGTATATACAAAAATAAATAAAATAAAAAAAATTATTTTTTAAATCTTTGCATAACTTTGCGCGACTAATTTCTAACTTCGTTGCACAAAGTACTGTGCTACCAAGAGTGGTTCGTCGCGCAAAGTCATTACAAAAATAAATAAAATATTTTTTAAAATCTTTCCATAGCTTTGCGCAACCAATTACTAACCTTTGTTGCACAAAGTGTTGCGCTACCAAGTGTTGTTCGTCGCACAAAGTCTTTACAAAAATAAATAAAATAAATAAAATTATTTTTTAAAATCTTTGCATGACGTAATCCAAATATTTCGTCGCCTAAACCAATTTATTTTTGTTTTTTTTATT